GCAAGGTAGTGGCGGGAGGTGGGGTGACCAGCCAGCCTTTGGGAAGGAGCATGTGTGGGACACATGTGTGGCTGTGTTCATGGGGAAAACTGACTGTGTTCGAGCAGTAACTCACAGAGATCAGCTAAACCCAAAAGGAAGAGACAAGAGACAAAGAGATGCAGACATACAGGTACAAAAAGAGAACAAAGGACAAAGATAGAGACAGGGGATTGGAAACAGACAGGAAAACAAAGAGAGAACCAGAGAGAGATGATGGGAGAGGTGCAGCCATCCCAGATTGGCAGCCTGGGGAACAGCAGGACAGAGATTCTGCGCAAGGACGGTGGATGATGGAAGAAGAGAGTGTCTTAGTGGATGTCACAGTCCCTTGGAGTGGCCTGTGCTGGATTCAGGCACCAGCAAGGGGCCTCGCGCCACAGACAGGCCTCAGACACACTGCATCACACCCCAGCACACCTACCGTGCAGTGCACTGCATAACTTACAACACGCACACTGCATACACGGCACACCACACACAGCCTGGAGAGAAGAGCAGGAGAAGGCCCAGGATGCAGGTGGGTGGAGAGGGGGATCAGGATCCAAGGAAACACACACACACACACACACACACACACACACAAACACACACACATGCAAAAGCAGGGGGCCCAGAAAAGACCAAGCAGTGAAACAGACAGGAGGAGACGGGAGAGGGACACAGGAGCAGCAGGAGCCATCTGTGCACTCTTCCTATTGTCTTGGTGTCTGTCTGTCTGACTGTCTGTTCTCTTACACACATACACACAGTCACATATCACAGAAAAAGGTAAAACACGGAGGAATAACTTGATACCTGTCCCACCCCTGGGCCTTGGCATGTGCTGTTCTGCTTCCTGCAGTGCACCTCACCCCGGCCTCACCCACTTCCTCCCTCTTCAGTAGTAGGGAGCTTGTGGAGGGCTGGACCCCAGCTGATCAGCCCCACCCGGAACCCCTGGCCCCCACACCAGGGTCACGCCAACAGCAGGGGCTCGGTGGACGCTTGACAAGGGAACAAACCAGCAACCAGTAAGTGCGGGGTAGGCGAAGGCTGCGCACCTGTAAAAGTGAAGCTGGGAGCTTCAGTGTAAGAGAGCAGGGGAGAGGGAGGCAGAAGGGGAGAGAGCAGGGGAGAGAAGGCACAGGGCACGGGGTGGCAGGGGGAGTGAGGCAGGAAATGAGAGAGTGAAGAAGACACGCACACTCTCACACCTGCTCTGTATGTCCGTGCTGCACACACAGCCAGGGCATCTCCTTAGAGACAGGGAGAAAACACATGGATGAAAGGAAGGGGCTATGTCATGTCTTATCTGTCAGTCTGTCTGTCTCACACACACACACACACAACCAGGCAGGAGCAGTGCCTCACAATGAGTGTGCTGGGAAGAGCCTTGAGAGTGAAAGGAAACAAATCCCCCAGCCCACAGCAGTGACCCCCAAAGCTGGAGCAAGGGGAGGCGGACAGCCAGGGCAGGGTACAGACAGCACAGCCCACACAGAAATCCAGCGGGCCTGGGCCTGCCTGAGGAGTGGAGCGGAGGGGAGGCCTGTGACAGACAGCAGCCAGCCCCTGCCCCCTAGCGGACACAGACACAAGGCCACTCCTGTCTGATAGCAGGAACAGTCACAGACCCGCTAGGGTGAGAGGTGGAGGCGGGAGAGGTGCACACACTCCCGGGCGTGGCCCTATTGGAGGCACTCTCCGGGCAGACTGTGGGGCAGAGCAGCTCAGAGACAGAGGTCAGCAGGCACGGAAGACACACAGCGGCCACCAGCAGCACATGCCCAGGCCCAGCCAGAAGAGGCAATAAGCAAATCAGCCCATGAGAACTTCAGGAGCCTGCAGAGTGTTTAAGTGTCTCTTAAAATCAGAAGAAAAAATGAAACTTTAGTTCAAAGAAAAATAGTTTTGTGCAATGCTGGGGATGGAACCCAAGGCTTTGCCCACAGTAGGCAAGCGCTCTAGCACAGCGGCACATCTCCAGACCTAAGAAAATGTTTTAATATGTAATATTAATATATTCACCTTTATACCGATGCTGTCATATTTAATTTTCTTTTTTGGAAGAAGGGCCCAAAAAAGCCATAATGGGGGTTGTGGTTGAGTGCACAGCCTGAGTGTAGGGGAATAGGCCAAGGTCAGGGCTTGGTGCAGGGAGCTCTGACACAAGGGGATCAAGGACTGAAACCACTGGGAGGCTGAAGAAAGGGGCAGCACTTCTGGAGGAAGTGAGGATTTGGCCCCAGCTAGATTTGGAGGCAGCTAGAAAGGGTGAAGGAGACAAAAGACCCGAACAGGGCAACAGGTAGACAAGAAAGGGTGGAGCTGCCAGGGGCCCAGTGCTTGAAGAGGTTGGGGAAAGGGTGTCTCTGCCGAGGAACAGGCACAAAGTTGAGGAAGGGTGTGCAGGGGATGTCAAAGGGAACTGTTCATGAGGCCAGTGTTGAGTTTGAGGCTGGAGGGAGTGCAGGGCTGTGTGGCACCAGGGACAGGGAAAGGGGTTGAGCAAGAGATTCCTGTGCACAAGGATGCGGTGTCGCTCAGTGATGGGGCATTTGTGAAGCACGAGTGAGGCCCTGGCTTCCACCCCCAGTACCACAAAAAAGAGATGCATGCCCAGAGACATATGTACACAGATGGACACACACACCACAGGCAGCAAGAATGGGATGGAGGGAAGCAAGGACAATCCTGCGGGCAGGGGAATGGGGGACAGACCATCACTCCCTGCCACAAGGAAGCAGCCATTCCAGGTGGACAGGCGCGCAGGATGGGCCCTCAGAAAAAGGGATAGCACTGAGTGAGACACAGCATGAGGGGCAGGAGGCAGAGGCTGACAGACCTCAGAGGGCTCAGGCCCAGGACCCAGGAGACCTGCTCTGGGGGGACAGCCCCAGTGAGGGGAGAGATGGGGACAGCAAAACCCAGACTGCACTCAGACCGACAGAGCTCAGCCGGTGCCCCGAGCCCAGCCACCTGTCTCATGTCCATGGTCCCTTCCCCATGCTCCTGTCCCCATCTCCGGCTTTGTTTTTGGAACCCACAAGAGAAACAGGAAAAGATGACAGGGTATGCATGCAAATGTGTGTGTGTGTGCATGTGCACGCGTGCACACACACAGATGGGAACGCCCAGCATAAGGTCTGGTCAGAATTCCTAAGTGAGGGAAGAGGGGCAAGAAACCTTGTGGTCAGACAGGGAAGCACGCACACCACATGACACATGACACATGACACACATGCAACACGACACAAAGCACACACACACGTGTGTAGCACACAGTACACAGCACAATAAAACCCGAGAAAAGGAGGCAGGAGGAGCTGCAGCAAGACAAATGCCCAGGCAGATTCCTGCCTCACAAGTCCACATGCAAGGGCCATACTTCATACACACACACACACACACACACACACACACACACACACACACAGAGGCCATGACTGGACTGGGCCCAGGGAAATCTTGGTTTTTTGGGCGGGGGGGCACAGCCTTCCCAGAGCTACACCCCAGCCCCTGGGTGAGTTTGAACTTTTGATCCTCCTGCCTTGGCCTCCTAAGTGCTGGGATTACAGGCATGTGCCACCATCCCCAGCCAGGGAAATGCTGGGTCCGCGTTTTTCTGTATGACTGTGTGGGGAAGTCAGGGATGTGGAGAGATGGACAGGGAGGAAAATCTGAGACAGAAAGAGACGGGAAGATCTGGAGAGGCAGCATCGCAGGGAAGCACCGAGGAGGCAAACTAGCAGCCGTGAGACACACACAGGCAAAAGGTCAGAAGCTTGGAGAGACAGACCAAGAAATGAGAGGGACTTGGCATGAGGGACAGAAAGAATATTAAATGTCAACACCACGTGCTGGAGAGCTGGGAGGACTGAGAGAGAAAAGCCCACTCTGTGGACAGATGGCCAGGTGGCTGGGCCCGGTGTGAAGCATCTCCCAGGTCCATTCCCCACCCACAGTGACAATGTGGGACAGGAACTTTGTGCCTACCAGGTTAGCAAGACGTGCCTCTGATGTAGCCCTGCAGCTCTGTGCATACATGGGGTATGCACCTGAGACCCTCCCCCGGGCACCCACCACCCACCTGTCCACTTGGGGTTTTGCCAGTACAATACATACATCCTGCATGCACAGCCTGAGCAAAACCCACTCCCTTGTCTCTCAACATTGGGGGACACAAAGCCATGAGCCCAGACTCACACACCACCTGGACACTTGCTCACGCACAAACATCTAAACAGCACATCTGTGAGCAAACGCTGGCCCCCAGGAGCACACAGGCCTGCACCCACACACACACGAGGCCAGAGGACAGCTGTGCAACCCTGACCCATGTCCCACCCCCACTTCCACAACACATGTTCCCCCATGGCACCCGGACTCCATGCTGACCTGCATACTGCAGTATTTAGCTTGTGACAGTAACACCAAACTGAGAAACATCTAGCTCTGACATTTGTTTTTAATTAAGCCCTGTTGGGGAGGTCAGAGGTGGTCACCTGCACGGGCTGAGTCTGACGTAGAATAAACACCTTCCCGAGCTCCGTGACGGGTCACCTTTCCAGGCTGCATCCTTGAGTGCTGTGGGATTGGTGTGGGTTTTCCTCAGAGTGCTCCAGTCCTTCCCAGATCCACCCCACCCTGCCCAGCATGCCAGGAAACACCCAAATGGCACACACACAGCGCCACACTCCACACAGACCTGGCAGCCATGCCTGACCCCCGGGGTCACCTGCACTTCTCACGTTTTGGGTCTTGAGCTAGGCCTGGTGCTTCTCCCAAACACAATGCAGATACAGATGGTATTACGCATGGCCACCTCCCCCAAGGCTCTCCCCAGTCTGATCATGTCCCCACTGCCTGGTCCAAAACCCTCCAGCCACCAGTGGTGCGGAACAAAGGCCCCTGACTGCAGCCTGTTCACAGCCCACCCCTCATTTGCCCACACTGTAGGTGCTCAATAAACCATCTGCCACACTGAAGTCTGTGTTTAATCAGACAATATGCAAAGTATTTACAACCAATTACTGATCCCCCCTCCCCCCTAAGCCTGAGCCATAGAATGTGGGACCCCCCCAGGCCCTGCCCAGAGCCAGGGATCCCCCAGGCCTCTGCATAGTCATCTGAAATCTACAAAACACTGTTAAAAAAAAAATAGGACAGTATTAGGACACCTTATACAAAGGGGCCAGGGCAGTTGAAGGGGGATTTGAGGGCACGCAGGGGAAGCGAACCCAGATCTGACCTAGACAGACAGGAGCAGACTTGAGAGACAAACATGAAGGGAAGGGAAGGTTGGAACCTTATGGGCAGGCACCACTTGGCCTCCCTCCCCTGTGCCAGGCCCAGGCTGGCTCGAGGACCCTGCCAACCAGGCTGTTATTGCTGTGATGGGGGCAGTGGTGAAATGGAGGACAGGGCTGGGGCGGCTCTTACATGTTAAATATGGACACACACGGACACACACACACACACACACACACACACGGGGGCCCTTGGCAAGATGCCACTAATTATCAGCTGCCCATGTTACAGATGGCCACACTGAGGCCCAGGAGGAAGCCACCACATACCCTAAGGCTGAACAGCAGAGCCAGGACCCCATGGGTTCCTACCACAGGGTCTGGCGGCAGCTGAGCAGTCAGAGGCCACAGCCACACGTGTAGTTGCAGCTCATAGAAAAGCAGGGCCCCAAGTCACACAGCAGTGTGCACCAGTGGGCACCCTTGCCCTCTCTGATCCCAGCCAGGGCACTCCTCCCTACTCATGATTTGGGGGAGCCCATTCGGGAGCAGAGCAGAGGCCAGCTGTTGAAATGCTCAGGACAAACTGGGGGATGGAGGACCTGAGGTTCCCTCCTGAGGCCAGGACCAGGCCCTCCAGCCTCACTGCTCTGTGACTACTTGATTGCCACCAGAGCCTGGGAGCTTACTCCCTGTCATGGCTGGCTGGCTCCAAAGGTCAAAAGCCACCTACATTCTGACTGAAGCCTGCTTTCCACACCTTCACCTTCCACCCCTTGCTTCTAGCTCAGCCTCACACAGGCCTGTCCGGCCCCCTCCCCCAACAGTCTGGCTGAGCCAAGCACACAGGGACAGTGGGACCCTGTTATCTGTGACCCATCTTGAGGTCCCCTGTCCCCTGGGCTGCTCCAATCTGAGATGTCTCTAAAGACAATTCTCGTCGGTTCCTGAGGAAGACCGACAGAGCACCAGGTACCAAGGCTGCCGCCTAGACCCTGACCTGCTCTTCAGCCCTGGGAAAGGCACATCCCCTCTCTGACTCCATTTTCCCGTGGGAACAATGGGAGAAAGGAGATGATGATCTCCAAGGGTCCCTGGGGTGGAAGAAGGGCAGAGCTGGAAGGGGGTCCTCATCCCATCTACTATCACTGAGCCATGCTGGGCTGGGGGATGCCCAACCATGACAGAGGGGTCTGGACCCTGCAGCCCTGACCCCCAGATGTGTCCAAAGGGATGCCAGGGGCAGGGGCTGCAGCTGAGGGCCAGGGTACATCGCTCCTCTTTGGAAAGCTTCTTTGGCCAGCTCATGAGACGGACCTGGGGCATCCAAGGGTGGAGGGGCCAGGCACAGGCCGCAGGTGGAGGTGAGAACGGGCATCCGGCCCCTTTTCCAAATCCTCCTCTGGTGACAGCAGATCTCCGGAGGGACAAAGAGGAGGCGTGTGGCCACAGCAGCGCTGGGACAATCACTGTGCTGGCCATGGACCCACAGACCCAAAGCCCTTCCATGTGCCCAAAGACAGAAGGGCTCCATCCCTGGCAATTCAGCCCCAGGGTGGGAGGGTCCACAGTGGCAGGTGGAGGGTGCAGACCCCACAGGTGACCCAGCTAGGCAGGGCATCCTGCCCTATAGGTTCTCCCCAGGCTGGTACTGGGGCTCGGTGGACGTGAAGTAGTCCTCCAGGAAGGCCTGCAGGTACTCGAAGGTGGGCCGCTCCTCGGGCTCCTTCCGCCAGCACTGGCACATGAGGTCATGCAGGGACTCGGGGCACTCAGGTGGGCAGGGCATGCGGTAGCCCCGCTCCACCTGGTCCAGCACCTCACGGTTCACCATCCCTGTGGGCACAGGTGAGCATGAGAGGCCTGGCTCCAGAAAGGAATGGACGAAGTGGGCAGGGACAAGAGGACTTCCCACCTAGGACAGGCAGGGCCGAGGGTAAGCCCTATCCCTAAGACTGGGGGCCCTGCCACACAGAGCCTAAGAACAGATGCTCAGCCTTTTTGTTACACAGAGGGGGAAACTGAGGTAGGGGGTGAGTACTGCCCAAGGCCTCCAAGGTGAGGGTTCAGGGACTATCGATGGGCCGTGTAGCCCCTTCTCACCAGGGTAGGGCACCCTGCCCTTTGTTGTGAGCTCGGTCAGCAGGATCCCAAAGGACCATACATCTGACTTGATGGTGAAGCGGCCATAGAGGGCGGCTTCTGGGGCCGTCCACTTGATGGGGAACTTGGCACCTGCAGGCGTAAGTAAGGGCAGGAGGCTCAGCAGTGCATCACCCGGACTCTGCCACAGGAAACTGGGGCTTAGAGCAGAGCTAGGACCTGCCCAGGGCCATGCAGCCAGTGCTCCCGGCTCACCTTGCCGGGCTGTGTACTCATTGTCTTCAATAAGCCGGGCCAGCCCGAAGTCAGCCACTTTGCACACCAGGTTCTCCCCAACTAGGATGTTGGCGGCACGCAGGTCCCGGTGGACGTAGTTCATCCGCTCCACATACGCCATGCCTGAGGCAATCTGCAGGCAGCACCCAGGTGCCTGGCTCAGGGGCCGCACTCACCTCCCCAGGCCATGGGCTTGGGGTCCTCCCAGGGGCTGCTGAGCCAACTGTACTTCCTGCCTTCCACACTTCTTCAGGCACAAGAAGTCAGCTCACAGTGAACACCACTGGCTTACCAAGCAGGACCAGCACCCAGCAGGAAGAGTGCATGAGGGTAATGGAAAGCGTCATGATAAGAGGCACCCAGGGAAGTGGAGGGATGGTGACAAAGAGGCCCCAGCTGACCCACACAGATGCATGACAGGTCCTGCCAGCTGTCCCAAGTCCTCCGTCTGAGCCTGTTTTCACATCTATCCAATCTCTACCTCTCCTGATTCTTATCAAAATTAAATGAAACAAAGATGTCGAGTTCTGCCTACATACTTGCTGAGTGGCTTAATGACCTTTACAGAGAAGAAAACTGAGGCCAGAGGTCCCACAGCAAGTCAGTGGCTGCTGATGCCCAGTTAAGGTCCTCTGTCCAGAACCACCACTCGGGGAACTTATAAGTGGTTCCAGTAATACAGGTGGGAAGATGAGTGTGGGGAATTCAAGGCAGGCCTCCTGGAGGGGGCTCACAAGAGGCGGCTCACAAGAGGCCAGAACTGGCTGAGCCAGGGGGATCTGGGTGTGCTGGAGGCAAAGGCTAGGGAAGCAGGAGGGACCGACTCACCTGAGCGGCCATGTCCACCAGTTGAGGCAGCCGCAGGTACTTGCCCGTTTCCCCCTTGAGAAAGTCCAGCAAACTCCCTGGGCAAAAGACAGAGTCAGCTCCAGCCCTGCACCGTCCTTCTTTCGCTCGAAAGATGTAACTCCTGGCTCCTGTGGCCCACCCGGCGCTGGCCCCGCCTTCACCAGCACAGGAGAATCCATGCAAACCCATCCCCAGCCTCATTCAGCAGTTATCTCTCTCAAGCAAACAGGGCAGGAAGCACCCCACCCCCACTGGCCCCCCAAGGATGAGATGGCCCGGGTGTGTGAACACACTGGGACCCAACTTGGGAACAAAGAGACCAGACCAATGGGGCATGGTAGTGCATGCCTGTAATCACAGCACTCTGGGAGGTGCAAAAGTTCCAGCCCAGCCTGGACAACTTCGTGATGACATTGCAGAGTAAACACAAGTCCACCAGGACAGAAAGCAGATCAGAGCTTGTCTGGGTTTGGAGTGCAGGGTACTGTCTGCCAAGGGCAACAGGGAACTTTGTGGATGAGGGAGACAGTGTGTGTCCTGATTGTAAGGGATACCTGGAGAATCCCTTGGTCACGATTCATTCAACCAAATACTAAATATCATGTTTTTAAAAATGGAATTTTGAATAATTAATTTTTTAAAATTAAGTCAATAGCTGGGCGTGGTGACACACACCTGTAAACCCAGTACTCAGGAGGCTGAGGCAGGAGGATTGCCTCGAGTTCGAGGCCAGTCTAGGATACATAGTAAGTTTAAGGCTAACCTGAACTACACAGTGAGACCCTGTCTTAAAAAATAAAAATAAAGGGGCCAGGGATTTAGCTCAGTGGTGCTGCTGGCTGCCTCGAAAGCCCAAAGTCCTGAGTTCAATCCCCAGCACCAAAAAAACAAAAAAATAAAAAGATAAAAATAAAAATCAAGGGCCGGGGATTTAGCTCAGTGGTTCCACCACCTGCCTTGAAAGCGCAAGGTCCCAAGTTCAATCCCCAGTACCATAAAAAAAAAAAAAAACCAACCAAAAAATAAAAATTAAGTCAAAGTCAGGCACCTGGCTCAAGTTCTCCTTTAGCCTGAGAAGAGCAAACAGCTTTAGAAAGCCAGCAAATAATGGATGGTGAGAAACCACTGAGAACAAAGTGAGAAGGGAAAGACAATTCTGCCTAAATTCCCTCCAACTCGTGGGTTTGATCCTGTGCGGTGCCACCTATAAAAAGTCACCGGGGTATGGGCGAAGTGGCACACACCTGTAATCCCTGCACTCTGGGAGGCTGAGGCTGGGAGGGCACAAGTTCAAGCTCAGCCTGGGCAACTGGGTGCCTCAGGAAGACTCTGTTTCAAAGTAAAAAAGGTCTGGGGATATAGCTCAGTGTGAAGGCCCTGGGTTCAATCTCCAATACCAAAAAAGAAAAACAAAAGCACTTTGGGGAGGTGGGGAGGGCCCTGGCAGGCACCCCGGGCACATCAGGTCCACTAGGCTGGCCAGCCAGGCCTCACCCTTGCTCATGTACTCTGTGACGATGTAGATGGGCTCCTCGGACACCACGGCGTACAGCTGCACCAGCTTCTCGTGCCTCAGTTTCTTCATGACCTGGGCCTCCTGCAGGAAGGCCTCCGGAGACATGGTGCCCGGCTTCAGGGTCTTGATGGCCACCCTGGTGGTGCCGTTCCAGGTTCCTGCAGGGTAGAGACGAAGGCGGCCTCAGTGGAGACCCCGCTCTCACCATCCAGGCATGGGACTTGCCTGCCTAGGGGGACCAGGCTCAGCTCTGGCCTCCCTCACCAAGTGACAAGAGCAGCCAAGGGGGGTCTCCTTCTGAACCTCTGTATCCCCATCTATAAAACGGGTACAAGGACGAGGCGGTGCCTCACAGGGTTGTTACAGGCTGAAATGAGGGCACTGCTCAGCAAACAGGAGCTGGGTCAGGACTCGGATTATGAGGAATGTCCCTCAAATGCCACACAGCAGTGGGACAGACAGAGACCACAGTTCCAACTCAATGGCATCTCCTGGTGCCCCTTCCTGCCAACTACAGCATGGAAGGCACCCCATTATCAGCAAACAGATATGTCCTAGTGGGGGTCAGTGGGGGGGCAGAGTTGGGTCAGGGGCTGTTGCAGCCACCAGAACAAGAGGTGGCCTCCAGAGCCTACAGACCCTGAAAAGCAAGCTGCTGCACAAGGAAGAGCAAGGTAGGAGGCAGCTCAGCTGCAGCCCAGCTCCCCAGGAGGCGGCCAGGGTGAGGTGGGACCCCTTCCTCAGCCTCTCTCCCCATCTGGAAGAGGAGATCCTCTGTGGCTACCTGTGGGGCTCTCTGAGGACTCAAGGAGATTTCAGCCACTGGGCCAGGCCCCCCGAGGCTCAGTGAGTGAGTGCAGCTTCACCCCTTGCGTGAGGACCTGGGATTTCATCATACAGTAGTAGGTGACTACACCTGAGGGCCACCACTGGGGAGCTGCACATTTAAAAGTGGGCCCCCTCTTTCAGTAGAGGCAACTAAAAGAAAAGGGAACCCGGGAGCCTTGAGCTGCCACCCAGGAGGGACCCTGCCTATTCTCAGGTGACCACATCAAACCCCCTCCCCAGGCCATGCCTCCGGGGGGCAGTGCTCCTTACCCATCCACACCTCCCCAAAGCAGCCCTGGCCCAGCTTGACCTCCAGCCGCAGGGATTCCCGGGGGATCTCCCAGGCATCCTTGGCCAGGCCCTGGGTCTGTGGCTTGGACGTGGGGCACACGGTGGTGAGGCGGTGGCACAGGCCATCAGCGTGTTCTGGAGATGAGGCAGGGAGCAGAGCTCAGTGGGGCACATGGGTGAGCTCACAGGAGGGCGCCCATACCAACATCTGCACCCACCCTGCCTGGGCCCTGCAGCCTTGTGAGAGGCTCACAGAGTCTGCCTTTCCTCCTTCACTCATGGGGCTTGAAGAGTGCCAGGAACCCGGAGGGGGGCAAGCACGTGGAACTGCCCTCAGGGAGCTCCCAGCCCAGGAGGAGCAGACTTCTGTCAGCCACCCCTCAGAGCCACAAACATGGCCAGGGAGAGCTGTGCGTGCATGAGTGTATGGGGTGGGCTGCACACAGGGGCTGCGGGTTCTCGGTCTCTATCCTAAAACAGCCCCTGGAGGGTGGGTCCGGGGGACAGGACCAAGCATTCGCCCCAGAGTGGTGGGGATCCTAGAGGAGGGTGAGTGGCCCCGGTGAGAGGAGGAGGTGCCAGGTAAGAGGTGGGCCACACAGGCACACACAGGCCCTGGGTATCCAGGTAGGTGGCCCCACTGCAGCACCCAGCACCTGCCCCACCCCACCAGCACCCTGGCTCAAGTGCTCCCTCTGCCACCCTCTCCTCCAACTTGGCTATAATCAATGTAGCTGCCCCTTCTGCTCTCCTAGTAACCGGTTCAGACCGGTCCTGAGGCTGCAGAGACAATCAACTCCAGCCCCTGTCCCCTCCCTTTCAGCTTGCTCAAGGCAGCCCCCTCCTCACCAGCCAGCTACAGTGGAGGAGGAGGGATGGGCAGGGGCTCAGGGAAGACAAGGAGGAAAGATGAGGCAGGGGGAGAGGAGTGGAAGGCAGTGGTGCCACAGGGGCGGGAAGGAGAGGGGGGAGAAGACAGGCGCATCCTCAGGAGAATTTAAGCCCCTGCCCTGGGGTGCCAGGGCCCCTCCCAGGGTCTGCAGCTGCAACCTGGGGTTCCCACCAGGCCGAGAGCTCACTGGAGTAATAGACAACGAGCTGCTGCAGGCTGTTGAACTGGGTGCGTGAGGTGATGTAGAAGCCACCGCTGTCCAGCTTGCGGATCTTGTAGTGCTTCACATTGAGGCCCTTGGCGTTGTCAAAGTCAGACACAGAGAGGCAGTAGGCACCTGGGGGCACAGCCAGGGAAAGGGACCATGACCATTGCACTGTCACCTCCACAGGCCACAGCCCTTAGCACACAGCCTGGGCACAGTGTCCTGCCCGCCTGACACCACAGGGAAGCCCCATCTCTCTCTCCCTGCCTCAGGGATAGCCACCAAGGCACAGCCCTGTGAGTAACAGTCCCACCACAAATCCTCAGCCCTGGCAAGACCTCCAAATCCTGGGTGTCTTCATAATAAGGGTGCTCCTAGGGCTTCTGGGAAGATGCAGTACCACTACACAGGAGAGGGCCTGGCGCACAGTAGGCAAACATTAGCTGAGAGGCTGGGAATGGCCCACCGAGGCAGAGGTCCTGGCCTGGCTGCTGCCCTCTGGGTCTGCCCACGATCTGTCTGCGCCAGCCCCTTCCTGCTTTCCGAACAGCCCAGGCTTGAGCTGCAGCAGGAAGATGGCTGAGGCCATGGCAGTCCTGGGCAGGGGCCTGTGTCTGGGGATGGTCTGCAGGCTGCCAAGGCCAAGTCTCCCGCCAGCTGAGAAAAGCTCTCACTGAAAGAGACACAGCCTTCCAGGCAGGCCTGGCCAGGAGCCTCTGTTAACTGGAGCCCAGGGACACCTGGGTCCTAGTAGGGAACAAGGCTGAGCCCATGACAGGTCAGACTCTAAGGACAGAGAAGGTGCTGCTCAGGAACCTCTAGGCAGTGTGCAGCCATGGGATGGAAGGCCAGCCCCATGGCCCAGGTCCTCCCTCTGGACAGTCCTCAGGTAGAGCATGCCATCCCAATGTAGAGAAGGGAAAGATGAGGGAAAGCGGCGAGGCTCGGATCACCCAGTGAGTCAGCAACAGAGCTGGGGCTTGAACCCGTACCGAGTGTCTAAAGCCTACACTGGACAGGCCTGGTATACTGAAGATGACCTGGGCTGTGTGTACCAGAAGTCACAGGCCTGAGGCTGACACCAACCCTGGGCACATGTGCACACATGCACGGACATGCCATGCCCAGTGGCTGTATGCTCACAGCTATCTACACTCCCCAGACCCCTGGGCACCAGAACAAAGCCACCACTGTCACACAGTGACACATGGCCAGTCCCACCCCCATGTGCACATATGCCTGGCCCTTCACACAGCACACAAGTGCATCCGGCTGCGTGCCTGCTCATAATGCACATGCAGGACATGGATGCTCTGCATTCTCATCTCCTGCTGAGGCCCAGGCCCACAGGAAACAGCCCAGGTTGGTTGCCATAGCAACACACAGCTGCAACCCACTTTCCAAGGGGCTGGAGAGAAGGGGATGCTCTTCACTCTTACTGGGGGAGGGACAGAGAGGAGTGAGCCAGGACTACGGGGGGAAGGGTGAAGCCGGGTCCCCAGAGGCCCCTGGGGAAAAGAAAAGAGGTCCATCATACCAGCACCCACCCTGGGAAGCAGACTTCTGCTGGGTGGCACTCAGACCTCATGACAACCAGTGCCTGTTCCCATCCTGAGCAACTAAGTCCAGAGAAGCAAAGCTTCATCTTTCACTGTACCTCTGGCCCCCCTGATTACTCTCAGTATCCCTCAAGTGTACTTCCCTGGCTTTGATTCTGCTGTTTCCTCTCACTCTGTATTCCAAACTACTATTCATCCTGCAACACCAGCTCACACTACTGACTAAAGAACTGCTTCCAGTGGCCAGCACAAGACCTCCTACCTTTCGTAGTTTCACTTTCTCGCACCAGGAAGGTGCCTCTCGGGTTCTCCGTGTTAAGCAGCAACCGCTCTGACTCCCGCCTGGTGATCTTGCCAAAGTACCACCTGTGTGGGAGGGACAAACACGGTGTCAGGTTCCTTCCCGCCAACAGCACCTCTCCCCAGGATGGGCCCTGGGCAGCCCTGCCTCCCACTCCGGCAGGGCAGGCAGGCAGATTGCCGCCAGGGAATACTCACTCCTCAGCCTGGATGGAGTCCGAGGGTGCCACATAGTTGCTGGGGATATAGCCCGTCTGTCCTGTGCTGAGCGAGTGTGCCAGCCACCAGTCTCCCTCTCTGAATGGGAGAAGGGAGCAAAAAAGAAAGGGTCGTCACCAGTGAGTCCAAGGTGCCTGCTCTCTCTTCCCAGGTGCTGTGCCGGCCCGGCAGCCAAGGGGGCACAAGGAGACTGTGGCCCTTGGCCTAGAATTCTTCCCCTCCTGGTGCAAATGCCTCTGGCAAAGCTGGCTCAGATGAGCTAGGTGCATGGCAGGACTGAGCTTGGTCAGCCTGAGGCCCAACTCTGCAGAGGCATGGTCCTGGGACAGGAAGTTAGCTTTCTTTCAGATGTACCAAAGCCCCTTGAGATGTTAAGGGCTGCTTTGGGAGGAAGCTCCCCATTTCTGGGGACAAGCAACGCTGTACCTGAGAGAAGATCCCTGGCAGAGATAGATGTCAAACTAGACTGTCAAAGTCCACCCAGCCCTGAGACTCAGAAGCCCAGATCTGAGGGCTGGTGAAACCTTGGGATAGGCAAGGGGTAGCCCTTTTGAAGCCCACTGACCATCCAGGCACCAGCCCAGAAACTACAGCAATGCTCACTTCTGTCACAAATCACAGGTCACCCCTAAAGATCCTTAGCTGGAAACTATAGACCTCCTCCTGCAGCCTACCCGTGTGGAGGGGGATACTGAGGCCAGAGGGGGCTAGGGCTTGCCCAAAGTCACACAGTCATGTGGAGGGGGACAAGGTGGCAGAGCCCCGGGCCCAGGACACTTCTGTGCAAACTGCCCCATGAGGAGGAGGTGATGGGACAGGGGCAGCAGGGATGCCCAGCCAGGACAGGTACCTGGGCCTGGGTGCGGGGAAGGGGCGGAAGTACCTTTGCAGCCATCTGAATGTGAACCAGGTCTGGCTGGAGCAGGGGTCCAGAAACAGAGGAGGGAGGAGCAAGCGAGAGCCCGACAGGAGAGAAGAGGCAGAGATGGGGGTGGTGAGAGGTGGAGAGAGCAGGAGAGCCAGGCGGTGCTGGGGAAGGGGACAAGGGGGCAGCCACAGAGGCCTCACATCCAAAGCAACCAAAGGGCACAGGAGAGGGTCCATGGGGAGTGAGGGAGTGACACCGGGCAGGGCAGCCTGGGGACTAGGGTCAGCCACTCCCATTCCCCCTGTAGAGATGGGAAGCCTGAGACCAGAGAAGTAAAGGCCTTGGCTCAAGATCACACAGTCAAGTGTGCCTTGAGCTCCAGGTAAGCAGCTCCCTGCAAGGTGCAGTGGGGCTGGCCGCCTTGCTTTACTGTTTCCATCAGAAGCCCCTGAGAGGATGCCCAGCCACTCCAATCCAAGCCCAGAGAGAGGCGCCCTTGCCTGCAGCCACACAGTCTACTTGATCCCTAGCTCCTCGTTCTTCTGAGCTCCTAGACATATTCTTCAGCCCATTTTAAAGATGGAGAAGTTGAGGCCAAGGGAGAGCAGGGTTTGGGGAGCTCCCTGAGGACCCACCAGGGCACAGTGCGCCCCAGGCAGGGTTCAGTGGGATGGGCTGAGGCCAGCAGGGGGTAGGAGGGTCTGGATGGAGCCAGGCCAAGGGGGCCCAACTGGGACCGTGTGACCTGACAACTGCACACCCTGAGGCAGGAGCAAGCTTCCACCCGGGGCTCAGAGAGAGGGCCCGGCATTCCCCCCACCTCCCTCCCACATCTCTGTGCACCCAGCGGGGCCATCCACAGTTTTTCTGTCCCCTTTGACTCTTAAGGCCACCTTGCAAGGGAGAAAGCAAGGCCCCAGCCCCCAACTGAGGAAACTATGACTGAGATGTTGAAAGAACAGCCACAAACCAACACTTTCTTTGTAGACCTGGGGAAAGTGAGGCACAGAGAGGGGTAACAACTTGCCCAAAGCTTCAAAGCAAAGACTAAAGTCACAAGGAACAGCTCTCTGAGAGCTTCCAGCCCAAAGACTTCATGGCCAATGCAGAAACTGAGGCATAGAGAAGGTAATGATTTGCCCAAAGCTGCATGGCAAACCAATGGCAGAGAAAGAGTGAAAACTGGGCCCCTGAGTGCACAGAGCAGACACAGCAGCCACCCCCAGGCCTCAAGGAGGCTGACACCCTCGGAGGAGCCAGTGGAACACTGGGGTGGGAGGGGGGGCAGGGGACAGGCCATTCCAAGACTGCGCCAATGTCTGAGGTCACAGGCTACAAAACAAGGCAGCTGGACAAAGCCAGAGTCTGCAAGCTGCCCAGCACCCAAGCAAGCAGAGCCGGCAGGAAGCATGTGCCCAGCCAAGCAGGGCCAAAGAAGCCAAGGGGTTCAGCCGACAGCACCCAGCTCCCTGACATCAACACATAGAGAGTTTGGGCCTCACCACCCAGTGCTGGGGGGTGCTGTCACAAGGGGCAGGACAGGGATGACAGGCACGACAGCAGTTTTACTGCACAACCCCCGTCTGGGTTGGGAGCCAGGCTGCCCAAGCTGCCCCAGCTCCCCTGCTGCCTGTGTGACCTCAGCCCCGCACTCAGTTTCCTACCTACAGGATGGGAATGGGTGTGCCTCCCTCCAAGGAGGTGAAATGCCAATGGGCCCCAGCAAAGAGGAGGTACTAACAGGCATGAGCTGTTAGTATCATGACTTGGCTAAAAAAATAAAAATAAAACCACTACATCTGTGTGTGCCTCCCTATTCTCCAAACCCTCTTTTAAATCCAAAGCAGCACAGCTTCAGCTCCAAAAAGGTTTTGCTGTGTGACCTTAGGGAAATAACACACCTTCTCTGAGTCTTAGTTCCCTTTGCCTGTAAAAAAAGAGATAATATTCACAGAATCTCCCTTGCAGGCAAAGTGTGTGAACACACTGTGCCTCGCTGAGACTGTTACTATTACCCCACCATGAAATAGGTCTGAGCCTGCCTCAGGTGCCCGAGAGCTGGCTCTGCCAAGGGCCAGTCCTGCTCTCACATGCGTGGCCCACCTTTCCCGGATGGGTCCAGTCAGGCAGGAAGCAGGGAAGAAGGGACCACACCTTCCCTGCCTGGCCCCTCACCTGCCACCCTGCTCACTAGCTGTGTGACCTTGACTCTCGGAGCCTCGGGACTTTTGGACCCTAATCCTTGTGTCGGGGCCTTGTGGACAGGGGTGTGGCAGCTCTGGAAGCTGGGACATGATGGCAGTTTGAGCAGTGACATTAACTCACTCAGGTTGTTGAGACTGGTCGGGGACACTTTGGGAAGTGCACACACGGTCCCCAGGCTGCGGCCAGTGGGACCCCGGGCAGGGCCCAGGCAGTCAGATTTCCAAGGCCTGGGCATGGGGTCAGTGGGTGAGGGAGGGTGAGGCCAGGAGGTCTTGAGAGGAGGAACAAAGGCAGGGCGTCTGGCAGCCCTGGGGTCCTGAGGTGTCTCTGCCAGAGTGCCCAGGAAGGAGAAGCCAGCTGGGGGCATCTTCTGGAAAGTGGCCCAGAGATGCCGCTGAGGTCTGGGTTGTCAGACCCTAGACCCCAGTGGGCTTCCTCAGACCCAGGGCCACGAAGCACCCAGGATACTAGTGCCCAGGGCCATCTGGCAGCAGGATCCAGGCTATGAGCACCGTAGCCGGGCTCACCTTCAAATGCTCTGCCGGCCGCCACCCAGCCCTGCGCCCACACAGAGCCCTGGGTAGCCCTTCATTCATCACAGGTGGGGGCACTAAGCAACGATGGACCCTAAGCAACAATGCAGAGACAGCACAGTGGCCCTGGGGCAGGTATAGACCCAATATCTCAAGTGTGAATGGCCATCTTCCCCTGAGCCCCACCCCCAATTCCTCTGCCTCCCCTTTTCCTCTAACGCCAGCCCCCAGCTCTGCCCCATGCAACTCAAGGCTGAGGGGTGGGTGAGCACTGACAGAGGACTCAGGCTCTGGCCCCACACATCCCACTCCACCCCACCAGGGGCCCTCAGCCCAGCCAAGCATCCCCCAGGTTCTGGACTGTAGGAGGAAGTGAGGGAAGGGCCAGACTAAAGTAGGGAAGCTGCCCTCTGACCCCAGTGACAGGCAGAATCAAAGTCCCCAAGCCTTTCCTGCCCCACGTCTTCATTCCAGCTGTGACCTCAGTCCCAGGTCTCCGGCAGAGCCTCCTAGCACTTCCTGTCATCATCCCATGCACCCTCCTTGCCCAGCCTTTCCTCTTCTGGGGTCCTACACGGATCACAGGCTGGAGAGCTGGCCATCCCGCCTAGCACCTCCTCTAGTAGCTGCTCGACCTTGGGCAAGTCATTTCACCTCCCAGGCCTCCATTTCTTCATCTGTAAAATGCAGAAAGTAATAGTTCCCATTTCTCAGGGCTCTGGTGGCATATAAAGAAAACAATGCACCCGAAAGTGCTCAGCACAGGGGCTGGCTCGCACTCAGGGCACAGCACATGTGACCATGTGACCACTTCATTCCATTCTGATCCTCCAGCCTGTTCACCAACACAGGTGGGCACCCTGTAAGCCAGGCAGCAGGTGACATGGGGCCCCAGAATGAGGCAGATGAGAGAGCAACCTTAAGGAGCTCTCGGTTTGGGGGAGCAGGTGACAGCCAGGACAATAAGAGAATGGAGCCACAGCTAGGCTCTGACACAGTGGGGCAGGAGGGGGAGCCGGGGAAGACCTCCCACCCCAGAGAGCAGCTTGGGGAAGGGAGGGAGCCACTGCCCAAGTTCTAGTCTTGGCCTTGTTACTTGGCAGCCGTGTGACCTTGGACAAGGACCCTTCACAGCTCTGAGCCTCAGTTTCCTCATCTGCAAAACAGAGGGACTCCCCATCAGTACTAGCCTGGAGGAATTACAGAAAGAAGCAAACAGGAGGAAACTGTGGGTAAAGGTGACTGGCACTGCACCTGGCACCTCTTTCCCTTTTGCCTCACAGAGAAGGCAATCCTGCACTGGATCCTGAGGGACAAATAGGAGTTTGCCAGGCAGACTAGAAAAAGGGTGTTCCAGGCAGAGGGAACATCCACAGGGGAAGAGAGGCATGAACAGGCAAGGCACACTTGCTCGGTGAGGGAGAAATGTCTGGCCTCCTTAGCCAGGGCTTTGAGGACACAAGGGACTGGCTCTCCTCTGCCCGACAGACTCTTGGCCTTCCACATCCCTGGAGGCCCAGTCCCTTCTGCACCTCCCGCCCTTCTACCTGCACACTTCTCTGCCCTTCCCTGGAGGCCCCACTTGCTCCTCCCAGTTCTTGTGGTCACCCTAGAGAGGGCACAGAGTAAGGCCCTCTGCCTCCCCTGGGGCTGGAATGGGCAGCCAGGGCAGGCTCAGGAGGGCACTCATGGGGCCCTGCATGTAGCTGGCTCTCAGTGTGGGCTGACAGATCAAGGAGGAGGTGTGAGGTGAGCAGGGGGGGACCTGGTGAAACCGGGGCTGCAGGATGATCTTGAGAAGCCTGGGGTGGTGGTGGCAGCCAGGGAGCAGAGCGCAGCAGGAACCCCGGTGGAGGACTCACATGCAGACAGCAGCCCAAGCCCCAGCGTAGCTGCCACCCAGCCCGCCGCCCATGTAGCGCGTTACACACCTGACATCCACCTTCCTCCTGAGGGCCAGCAAGAGAGAAGCAGAGAAGGAGGAGCTGAGAGTGGGCGGGAGGCGCAAGCCAGGACGCAGGAGCCGGGCACTGCAGGGTGGGAGCCGCTCCGCCCCGCCCTCTGCTGGCAGCTCCGCGTGGCGGGCAGGACCCCCACTGCCCACACTGCGCTGTACCCCACGGGGTCCCCCAAGGCAGCACGGAAGGGGCACTCACGTGTTGTTGACAATCTGGAGCCGCTCCCCTTTCTTGAAGGAAAGATCAGTCTCCGTCCGGGACTCGTAGTCATAGAGGGCCACAAAGGTGGTCACTCCACCTGCAGGGAGCGGTGGGGTGTCAGAAGGGCGGAGGGGGCGCCGCACCCAGGGGATGGGGTCGTTCTCTGTCACCCACCAGCGCCCCACGGAGAAGGACACTGAGGAAGGGTCTGTGTGCGCCTGAGCTTCCCTGCTAGCGTCTGTCTGGCGCGCACAACCGACGGCCGTGAGGACAGGCATCTCTGTTTGTCCCCAAGAGCAGGGCACAGTTCGAGTGGGCCGAGGCGCTGAGGAAGGCGGAATCCCACTCCAAGAGGGTCGTCTTGCTTCTGTGTGTGTAAACCTGGTGTCTGGGGAAAGCCCGGCTGCAGGCTGGCCCATGTCCCCCTTGCTAAATGACACTCCCTCACCCGCCACACAGCCCTCGGCACCCGCGTGCCCTTCGTCCTTCACTGGGGTTTCCTCCTCCGAATGCCCTACAGTCCACGACCGCCCTTTGCCGGCAGAGCGCGGCTTCACTGTTGTGTCCTGAACAAACGCACGGGTGTGTCTGAGGCTCCCTTGTCCGAGCGTCTCTGCGCCTCGGTGGGTCTGTACCCCGTGTGCGTGTTCTCTGATGGACCCGTACATCCGCCTGCGTGTGTCTCTCCGTGGGGCCGCGGCGCGTGGCTCTCGGCGGGCGAGTCCTGCAGACCAGCGCGATCTCACGCGCCGGCACTCGTGCGCCGCTGGGCCGGGCCAGGCTGCGGGACCGCGCGGCGCCACCAGAGGGCGCAGAGGCCGAACAGACCCTGGGCCAGGAGGGGCCGGCCGGTCCCGCGGGGCCCTTCCCACCGGCTTTCCGCTCCAGATCCCGCTCTGCTCCGCCTGCACCGTCCTTCGCAGTGGACAAGCCCTTCCCGCCCACAGTGCCAGGGACCCTCGGGGAGAGGACACTGACCGGCCAGCGGCCCCGCGCGCTGCGGGGAGGTGACGGTGTCCGAAGAGTTGAAGCCCCCGAAGAGCTTGGACTCGGCGGCGGCGGGGGCGAAGGCGGCCGCGGGCCCGCGGTGGCCGTCGGCCGAGGCCGGCTTGCTGGGGGTCTGCGAGGCGGGGAAGGCGCCGCCGCCCGGGCCGTGCACGCTCTCGGCGGGCTCCAGGCTGCGCCGCCGAGGGCCGGCATCCTTGGGCTTGCTCTTGTTGCTGCCCATGGTCCTGGCTGGAGACAGAGGAAGGAGGCGTGGGGCAGAGATTCAGGGCGCCCCCACCCACTCTGCAGGCGTGGAAACTAAAGCCCTGAGAGAGGGACTGGGGTCTCCGAGCCTTGGTTTCCTCAGCTGTCCAGCCTACCGATGCCACACACAAAGGGCTTCCTTGGGACAGGGACAGACATAGAAATACCTGGTCACCCGAAGCCCTGACCTCCCCCACCTCCCCTTGAGTTCACTGTTGAGGCCCTCGAGGACAGGGACCCTATCTGAGTCATGCCTGTGTCCCCAGCACTAGCACATTGGAGAGACTTACTGTAGGTTTGTTGAATGTATATGACCAATGGAAATGGTCTAACACTGGTGGAAAGGTGCTAAAAGTGGCGACTGAGGCAGCAGTATGGCAGGAGGTGCAGCCACAGGGCCTTTGCACACACAATTCCCACTGCTGAAAATGCTCTATTCTGATTCACCAGGAGTACTCGTGCCTCCTTCAGTTCTCAGCTCAAAAGTCACCTCCAAGCTGGGCACACCTGTGATCCCACCACTCTGGGAGGCTGAGGCAGGAGGATCACAAGTTTGAGCCCAGTCTGAGCAAATCAGCAATTTCATGAGATCCTAACTCAAAATGAAAAAAGGGCTGGGGATATAGTTCAGTAAGAAGGCCCTGGGTTCAATTCCCAGGACCACACAAAAACGTCACCTTCATAGGAAAGGTTCCCTAAATCCTTTCACTGAGTTAAGTCCCATGGCTTTCGGCATCTCCTTGATTGCACATGGCCCATTTTTTAATCCTGTGATTATATGATTTTTGTCATGAGCATTTGTTTCTTGTTCACTGCCGAGTTCACAGTGCTTAGCACAAAGCGTGGCACAAACCAGGTACTTCATAAACAGCTGAGTGAATGAATGAATGAATGAATGAATGAGGGACAGTGAGTGAGGGACAACTCAAGAGTTAAGAGAGACTTCTGAGCCAGAAATCTGGGAGCCCCAAAGATTGGGAAACAAAAGGAACCAAGATGAAAATGCCCACAACACCCTCAGCCCCGCCTACCCCTCCCCACCCATCACGGTGGCCCCCACCCCAAGGCCATCACCTCACCTGGTGGAAGGCAGTGCTGTCCCAGAAGATCTGGGAAGCAGCCTGGGGTCTTGGCACAAACACCAGGTGTGGGTGTCTGAGGTCTTGGACTAAAGACCCTGCTCCACCTCTCCCTCCTGTGTGTCCCTAGGCAAGTCGGTTCCCTTCTCTGGGCCTCGGCATCTTCATCTGCAAAGCAAGGATAAAGCAGACAGACTTCTCAGGGCTATGAACGTAGAGAGAAATTGCAACATAGTCAGTGCTGGATCACTCCTCACCAGGTTCTGCCGGATGGCCCTGAACCTCCCAGACCACATTCCAGAGCAGGGGGCCAGCCAGGGTCCAGCACAGCAGTTAGGGGTGGGCTTCGGAGCCAGGTTCCCCAGATCTGGATCCTTGCTTTGCCCCTAATCAGCTGCGCAACCTCAGGCTTCCCTCCTGTCCCATTCCCTTCTCTGTGAATGGCGGGGCATTGTGACAACTGACTGAGGCAGCACCACGGGTCACTCTCGTGACACTAGGGCTCCAGACACACCATGGAGGTGGGTCCCGGGTGTGCTCTGAAATGCTGAAGGCCCCAGAGAAAGCCTCTGAGCACCTGAATAGGGAGAAGTGCCCTGGACAGGGACCCAGCACAGCCAGCTCTGCCACCCCCTCCCCGTGAACCTCTGCCAGTCACCCCCTAGCTGCTCAACTGCACAATGAGGTGTGGCCCATACTGTGGGCACATTGTGCCCTTTGGGGTCCCTGAGGACAGTCTGGCTCAGAGAATGTGGGGCTGGGGAGATCACCAGGGGCCAGAGGGTCAGGCCAATCAGGCTGGGGACAGTGTCTGCAAAGCCAGTTTCCATGGCAACCCATTCCATTCAGGTCAGGGTGCCCATCCGAAAGCGGGGGTCCCCAGAAACCTGCTGACCGGGCTACCCACAGCCCCTGGCTAGAGGAGGTCACATCCTCACCCACTCCCCATCACTGGCTCCCTGGATGGGGGGTGGCTGCTTCAGCCTCCCCTGCTGTCCCGGGTAAAATGGAAACCATCATTCAGAGTGGACTTGGCTGGGGCGGGGCTCAGTGCTTGCCTAGCAGGTACTAGGCCCTGTGTTCCTTCACCAGAGCTGCACAGGCACACGTGCACGCACACACACACACACACACACACACACACACACACACACACACACAAAGGTGGACTCTGGGAACTAGAGGAGGATACAAAGAGCAAGCTGCCAGTGACCTGTCCTTGAAGACAACCAAGTCCTGACCTGAAGGGTTTCCTCTGACCACAGAAGAATGCAGGATATAAACAGAACAGATCCATCTAGCACCCTTGTTAGAGCTCCCCGTGGGCAGGGCCAGGTCAGATCTACCTCCATGGCCCCCGCAACCAGGCTGGACCTGGCACCTCGGGGTAGGGCTCTGGGAATGTTTGCAAGGTGGCACAGATGTATAACTTGCATCCTGCTCTGTCCCTGCAATGTCACACTGTAGAGACCATATATCACTCTGCAGCATACAAACACTCCCTGAACTCAGACCTACTGGGCCTGGCTCTAAGCCCTTTGTAAATACTGATGGGCCAGATCCTCATGATAATCTAGGACATAGATACTAACAGTATCCTTATTTCATTGATGAGGAAGCTGAAGCACAGAGAGGTTAAGGACCTTGCCTGAGGCCAGAGAGCACAAGTGAGTGAAAAGAAAGTGGGGACAGAGAGCCACACAGGGCAAGCAGGACTCATGCGGTCCAGTGGGAGACTCATGGGCCCAGCCTGCTGCCCACAAGACCAGGACCTCTCTCAGTGGAGCAGCCAGATTTCCTGGGCAGAAGTGGAGGAGCAGATAAGGCAGCCTAGTCCTCCTCCTAGACAGAGCCAGAGTCTCAGCCCTCAGCAGAGCAGAAGGTGCTTGAGGAATGACAGGTCCATTCGGGGTGGGGGTCCAGCCTCTGTGAGGCCAAGGCCATCTGTGCAAACTTGGAAGAGACCACCCTCCAGGAGCTCAGACCTCAGGCCTCTGCCTCTTCCCGGAGGAGGAGGGATGGGTCTGCAGGCCTGTGGGCTGGGCCCAAACGCAGAATCACCATGACTGGCCCATTTGAGAAAAGCTATTACCCCATCTCTTCCGCCATCTGCACACTCCCAAGTGGAGGCAGACTGTGGTGGGCTGAGGGGAAGCAGGGAGGGCCACGCATGAGTGCCTGAGGTTCCCAGAGGAAGGCGGTCTCTTTCCTCCTGGAGCCGCTCCTGACCACAGGCATGGGCTCCTCCCCAGACAGAGGCTGCACTGTCGCAGCCCACAGGGGCCAGGATCTGGCCCCATACCTCCCCTCTGCATCCCCAGGCTTCACAGGCCACAGGTCCTGACCTGACTCAGTGTCTCCCTAGGCCTGGTCCGATGGTTACTGTTTGCAGAGCACCTTCTGTGAGCTGGGCCTCATGCTGGGCTCTGCTCAGGGGGGCGCCCTGAGGTAGCTCCAAAACTCCTCCAACTCCAACCCAACCCTCTCCTCCTAGCCCCCTTCCTCAGGCCAGGGCTCAGTGTCCTCCTTGTTGTCCTCCTGCAGCAGGGGTGGCCCTCCCAGAACCCTTCTCCTGAAGCCAGCAGCATCTCTATAAACCACAAAGATAACCAGAAACAAGCCCTGTTAACACTCTTCATGGAGAATGAGTAACCTAAGTGTCCAGCATAAACAAACTGTGGGCCAGTCATCCAGGAGACACCTGTGCAGCTATTAGGAAGAACCAGAGCTGGGTGCTGTGGTGCACACCTATAATCCCAGCTACTGCAAGGCTCAGGCAGGAGAATTGCAAGTTTGAGGCTAGTCTGGGCAACTTAACAAGTTCCTGACTCAAAATAAAATTTTGAAAAAAGAGGGCTAAGGATATAGCTTACTGATAAAGCACTAGCCTAGCCTAGAGTTCCATCCCTAGTATAGAAAAAGGAAGAGGAGGAGGAGGAGGAAGGGGAGGAGGAGCAGAGAGAGGAAGAGCCAGCACTCTGTGTGGCATGAGAAGATGCTCACGACATATGTGACATACGAAGAAGAAGACAGCAGTGTACCATCTCCTTTGGGCTTCATGGAGCCTCAGTTTCCTCATCTGGAAAATGGGGACAGAATGCTGCCTACATGGTAGGGCTGATAACACATGCAGTGGGCCTAGTGTGGTGCCAGGCACATAGCAGACATGAGCTACTTTTACTTCTGCAAAGAAAGCTGGCTTGTGTGTGTGTATGTGTGTGTGTGTGTGTGTGTGTACATGCACACACGCATGCACACATGTGTGCTGGACATTTAGAGAAAGTTCTGGAAGGAGTCCAAACTCTCCACAATGTTTCATCCAAGAGGCATAAGATGGGGAGAGGAAAATCCCATTTTTTACTTTATATCCTCTATCAACTGACATTTGGAAATTTCTTTGTCATGATTTTTTTTAAATGAGACTTAAAAAAAACAGTTGAGGGCTTCCCATCATCCCTTGGAACAAGGCCTAAGCTACTCTCCGGAGCCACCCGACACTGCAGCCTGGGAGGCTGCCCTCCAGCCTCTGCCCTCTCTGCCCAGCGTCCACCCTCACCTCCTGGTGCACGTGGGTCTCCTTCCCCGCACCAAAGTCCCCTCCCTCTTCTGAGGCTGGGGGAAACAGGAGCTCTGCAGCCGTGAGGACACCGCCAAGTCCTGGCACTCGACTTACTAGCCACGGCTTCCTGGACAAGTGGCTCTGCCTCTCTTTCTCTTTCTAATGTGGGGATAACAGTAACTAACAGCTGAGTGCCAGGGGAGTCCATGAGCCAGGCCAAGAACGAGAGCTGGATCAACAGCGCACAATGTGCTTCACTGCTGTCTCCGTCATTGCAGAGGATCAGAGAAACAAGGCAAGAGGATACAAGAGGAGGTGCCAGGGCCTTGAAGTGCAAGGACAAGCTGAGCTGGTCCCGATAGCATAATGCAGTAGAGACTACAGCTCCCCTCACTTTATAGGAGGGGCCGAGGTTCAGAGAAGCTAGAAACTCACCTGAGGCCACACAGCAAGTGAGTGCAGCAGTGCTGGGTGCTCAAGGTTCAAGAGCAAGGCCTCAGGATGCACCTCTGCTGCCCATTCACTGTGCTGACCGCCCACAGTGCCCCGGGCAATTCAGGGATGAGAGCAACCTCAGACCCTCCCAGGAAGCCGAGCACCAAGGAGGAGCTAAAACTACAGGGGAGGAGCCAGAATGCCTGGTGCAGATGCCAGCTTGGCTTCTGGGGCCTCGGGTGGGCCTCAGTTTACCCCTCTAACATGGGAATCAGCACAGGCATTTCCACCCAATTGGACTTGTCATGGGAAGAACAGGAGGTGAAATTTGAAAAGTGCCAGGCCCATAGGAAATGCTCAGCAAATACCAGGGGCTAGTATCTTTTCTAGGAAAAACTTTTTCCAACTTTTGTCCCCTGTTCTAATCACTCTCTCAATTAGGCAAAGGGCTTCCAAAGCCCTACTGCATGCCAAGCCCATGTGTGGCCCTTGGGGATGCCTCTGGTGGAGGTGACTCAAACCAAGGGCCTACAAAAGCCCCTTCACAGGGAAGCAGCCCAGAAAAGCCAGGCCTGTTGCTAGGAGGTGAAAGTGTGTCCTCTTGAAATTCATATGTTGAAGCCCTAATTCAAAAGTGCTGGCATTTGAGGCCAAGCCTTTGGGAGGTAATCAGGTCCTGAGGGTGGACTCCTCAGGGTGAGATTAGTGCCCTCGAGAGAAGAGGCAGCTCCCACAGCTCACCGGCTCTCTGCAGTGGGAGGATGCCATTTAGACGCCATCTGGCTAGAAGACACCATCTGAAAACCAGGAAGCTGTCCTCATCTGACACTGATCTGCCAGCCCCTTGACCTTGGACTTCTAAGCCTCCAGAACTTCTAGAAGTAAATGTTGGGGATTTTGTTGTTGCTATTTGCAAATCTTCTAATTAATCTGTTAAGTGATTCATAAAAATTGTATGTATTTAAGGGATATCATGTGATGTTTCCACACGTGGTGGTTGTTTTGTTTGTTTGGTTTTATCTTTTGCAGTGGTGGGGATTGAAATAAGGGCTTCACGCATGGTAGGCAAATGTTCTACCACTATACCACACCCGCAGCCCTAGCTAATGTTTAAATCAGATTATCTAACTCCTCAAACATTTATTATTTGTTTATGGTGAGAACATCCAAGACC